AGACGCTTCATAACTTATATTTTATAATATATTAATAAAATAATAACGATACAACTTTATAGTGTTTCCGGTTTCGTGCAGTTACCACGATACCACGTTATTGTACACACTACACATAGTGTATTTCCAGTAACCGTGAGGTACAAATTATCCTAATTATTATATAATTAGTATAAATAGTATTAGTTGACCACTTGACCATATGTGTATTTTAAAATCCATTCAAGGAGGTACCACCACCTAATCGGTCGTGAGGCAATTGCCTCATGAAACACCCTATCACGCCGCCACTGGATATGTATACCGTGTGCTTAAAATCATTAATTATAATTACATATTTATTAATGGTAACTTATAGAATACTTTTTTTAATGTATGCTATTGTGTTATAATATAAAGATAAACATAATATGAGTGTAAAATTATTTATACTCATATTTAATCTTGTTTTTAATACGTATAAAAAAAAAATAATCTAAATGTAATCAATAAAAAAATAATTATAAATATTTTCATATTTTATGTGTTTTAATTTTTAATAATTGTAAAAACGCATTATTTATTTTTAGCTCTTATTCAGTATATTTTGAATTTAGAACCATAGTTGATTCATAAAAATGACTTTAAAAAATAGGCCTATCCGAATAATGGTGTTCTAAAAATTGGTGTTGGCGTGTTATTAAAAAAAAAAAAAACATATTTTACTGTGCAAGCAGCCAGCGGATACCGAAATGATAAAATTTTTGAAATGTATCTATAAATGTGTATTTACTTTTTATTTACCATTAACTTATAAAAAAAATTCGATTTATTCAAATATAATCCAGCATAACCCTTAATTGGAGAGAATACAGTATAATTTACACCGTAATTTTATTAATGTTCACCAGGCCCTATTTTTATGTGCACCTCGACGCACAATGTGCGCCACGAATGTACAAGTGTGCACAACAATTTGAACGTGTGTGCCAGTGGCGACAGTGGCGTAGTTATCCTAGGGACAACAGAGGCATTTGCATCGGGACGCAAAATTCTTTGGGGGCGCACTAATATGTGTAAAAAGTGTGATTGAAAAAAATAAAAAATAAAATCTTATGATAAAAAAAAACACACACACAAATTTGGTCGCAGCAACGTTTTAATGACAAAAGTCGAAGAAGAGTCTAATTTATATTAGGCAGGGCGAAAAATATATTTTGGGTCGAGGCGCTGACGAGGGTAGCTACGCCACTGGTGTGTGCACTATGGTTAAAAAAAAAGAGAAGAGAATATAAAAGAATATTAAGATTGGGAAGTTATCCATTGATAACACCCAGCGCACTTTGGTCTACAAACAAAAATTACATAATTTGCTAGCTTCTAAAAAATATGAGTATTTCCTGAATTTTGTTGTTTTAATTGATTGCATTGTTAAATTATTATACTTATATTTATACATAATACATTGCTTTTTTAAGATAGTAGCGCATACAGTTTTTGTTTAAAGCAGTAAAATTAAGCGTGCAGTTCGAAATTTTATGAATAATTGGGCCTAGATAGTAGATAGTAGATAATATAAACTACTATAAAGATAAAGACACTGATACAGATAATAAACTAGATTGCTAACTTGTATGAATTGACAAGCAATCCGGGAGACGCCAATTTTCCGCCATGTTGCTTGTGGGCTATGGTATTTTATCAATTCTTATCGTTGTGATAATACCATAACATATTATTCGACAGCACCTAACCTTTGTTCTGTGATTATTCTATGATAGATAATACTAAAGATATAATAATTAATATTATTATTATTATTATGATTCATGAACTCGGAAATATTTACAATCATTATTCAAAATTCAATATTCATACATCATTATTCATTATTATATTTGATTTACCCATAAAAAAAAACTTTGAACTATATATAAGCATTATAATACACAGGTAATATTTATCGATTTCCGATGAACAAAATATGTATAACTACATTTTATTAAACAAAATTGACTTATGTAACTTTGTCTTTTGTTGACTTAAGCTTTCAGAATAGAAGAACTTAAAATTTTGCTGTAAGAGTATATACGAATATTTAAATCCATACGAATTACTAGATTAATAACATTTATATCTTGTGTGGACGTGAATGCACACATCAATGTCTTCAAAACATTTATTTGTTTCTGCAAGTATATTTTTACATAATGCAAGTGAGTTTTGAACCATTACCATTATTTTTTGGTCMATATTTTATATAAGTAATTGTCTTTTGTCAATAATTATACACCTAAAGCATTGTTCAGTTATTTTGACAATTTTGATAACACTTTCGATGCTAGTTGAAGACCTCGGTTTTTTTTCATTTATTAAGTTAAATGCTTTTTTATTTTTTTTTGACAATAGTCATGGTCATTTATGTTAATTGATACATCAAATCTTACACCACATATTTTAATTTCATTTTAATTAATGATATATAATTAGGTATACATGATATATTATGTATAATTCATTTTTCAATATATATTTTTAAAATATTATATTTATGATTGGATTTTAAATACCCGCCAAATTATATATTAGATGGGTATCACCACAGAACAATATGGTATCACGTTAATCGTATTCTAATAAATAGATAACACTACAGAGCCCACAACCAACATGACTTTTTTTGGCGTCGACTGTTATTACTAGTTAGCAATCTAGTTTATTATCTATATCTGTGGATAAAGAAGGATTTATCGGCTGTTTGTGGGTGAAGCGGACAATGGTGATGACGAAATTATCAGTTGTATGTTATAATAAAGAGGCCTGCTTATAGACGAGAATAGATATTAATACAACATCTAAAATTAGAACAAATTATCACGGACGATGGAATCGGCTGAACATTCGTTATTATTGAGTATGAGTTATATTAGTTATTGTGTTGTCTCCGTTTTACAAATAATAAATATAMAACATGGCAAAAACTATTTTAAACCAGATAACCAATTCTCTGTATTTATAGTTTTAGTAGAATTATTAACACGTTGATTGCCATGCAGCCTGCAGCCACCGGCGTCCGCATAAAAATAATTAGGTATTGATAATTTTAGACCGCCATCTGCCACACCATAATATCATTCGTAGGAGGCCACGGCCGCGGGCTGCCGTAAATTAATTTGGATTTATATTATTAACTTTTCCGTGGCGCTACAATAATGATCTTTGAAATACGCTGTGGCGCAGTGGAAATAATGAGCGATTGTAAACTCTCCCGATTTTAATGGTTTGTTAACTCTCCCGATGGTAAACTCTCCAGGGTTTAGTCCAATACTACCTGACGGGAACATGTAAACTCTCCCGGGTCTAGTCAGTGCTACCTGACGGGAACAGGGGAACATGTAAAATCTCCCGGGTGGCCGGGTCTAGTTCAGTACTACCTGAAGAGAACATGACGTAAACTCTCCCGGGTCTAGTTCAGTACCTACTACCTGAAGAGAACATGTTAACTCTCCCGGATCTACTTCAGTACTACTAAGCTAGCTGGGGAGCATGGGGTATTATTCGTTTTGCACAGTTAGAATTGGTTGAGCCATTATAGACGATATTGTTTTAAATAGTTTAATTAAAAATACTCTAACGGTAATTAAATATTTAAATGACAAAATATACAGGTTAACACAAGATAAATACAGTAATACAATTCATAATAAAAATTATAATCACAATCTCTGCAGTGTA